TTTAGTTAAGACCTTAGACACTTAATCCAACACTTGAAAAGGTCGGTTGTTTCTTAGTTTTCCAAATGATCGGCGAGTCTTCAAGAAATACAAAATAAGTAGTTAAAGATCTTCGAGTCAGAGGACAAGCTACCCAATCAACATCACAATATATATTCTTTTACAAACTAAGAAAACTAAGATTACGAAGAACTGTATCATTTGCTTTTTTCGAATTTGGATAAGAAAATTTTCGTTATATTTTATAAAAATAATATATCTTAAAATTAAAAAATAAACAACTCAAAGCCTTATTTTTAAAAAATTATTTTTAGAAAATCACAAGTATAATGAGTGGAGATATCCCTTAAATTTTCATGATTTTTGGAGAATTATTTTTTCTGTGTTTTTTATAAACAATAATTTTTTTTTCAAATTTTCATAATTGTGCTTATTTTGTAGAAAATTAAATTTTAAGAACTCTAGTTAATGTTGCTACCGTCCAAGTGCCATTAGATATCTATGCATGAATCTCCTTGCGCATGACATCACACCAATACGGCCTGCCACCTTGTAACAAGAAGGTTCTGTTCCTGTGGTAATTGCTGCCAAAAAATGTCTATCGGACATAGAGAATTTGTCACAATTAACATAGTTGGTGATAGAATACGGCGTACATGATGACGCAGATGAAGACATAGACAAATTGGATAGCGTAGAGGATGCATGGGTTATATGTGTTAAATAATCTTTGAGTCGTGTAGATGCAAAACCGTTGTCGATGTCCTCGACCTAACAAGGATATGTCACCTTCAGCACCGCTAGAATCATCCTCAACAACATTTTTGGCCTATTTTTGTTGTGGATTTAATGTACCTGGTTGGTTCTCTTGTTCAATCTGTTGAGGAATTTTAGAACTTGCTGCAATATTAGTCGTTTGATGCTCTAATGTAGGTGGTTGGTTCTCTTGTTCTGGTCGTTGTGTCACTAAGATGGGAGTAGTAACCAACAATGTCTTATTATTAGGTACCCAATAACTATCATCCTCCATGCTTGCATGAGATGGAACGTAATCAACAGTTGGTTGTGAAAGGTTTTCAAAATAAGGAAATTTATTCTCAAGAATATGACATCTCTCGATTCAATAATATCTCCCAATTCCAAATCATAAAGACTCCATCTCTTTTTACCGTATGGATAGCCGATAAAAATGTATTTTTGACTACCGCTTGAAAACTTATCATTGGACCAATTCAGACTGCGAGCATAACATAGACAACTAAATGTGCGTATATGATCAAGTGACGGTGATTTTCCATACAAGACCTCAAAAGGTGTTTTCCCATGCAAATTAACAGATGGAGTGTGATTTATGAAATGTCTAGCTGCCATGATACACATATCCCAAAATTCAAGAGGCAAGTTAGCTTGAAAACGTAACGTGCACCGTATATTGAGAATATGTCGATGTTTTCGCTTGACAAGGCTCGTATTGTTGAGGAGTTTCAATCGTGGAAGTTTGTTGAACAATAGAAATTTGCTTAAAGTAATTTTTTCAGACAACTAAATTCTTTCCCATTACCACACCGTATAATTTTTACTTTGGTATTAAATAGGCGTTCAACCATCGCTTCTTGACGCTCCAAGGTTTCTTGCTTGGTGATTTGTGAGTACACCCTATTCATATTGGGTAGTAGATTAACAACAATAATGATAGAGAGAATGGTGCTATAAGACGCATCATCAAGGCCCATAAGAAACTGATAAACCGTTCGTCTTCAACCTTCTTCTCTAAACGTGAGTTCAAATCACATTTGCAACCATGGTAGCTACACATGGGCATTTTATCATAGTCGTTGATATCATCCCAAATCTTTCTGATTCGACCATATTACTCCATGAAACTCCATTTTGCTCGTAACTAGAGACCTCAATTTTCAGCTGATGTACCATTGCATCATTACGAACGGAAAAACTTTTTTGAATATCGTCTCACATTTCTTTTGCTGTTTCATTATAGTAAATTGTGGAACGCAAAGTTGGCTCGATGGTGTTGAATATCCTTGAGGTAATCATGGAGTTTACTATCCACCAGTCTTCTATATCTGTTGAGTCTTCCGCCGGTTTCTTTATGGATCGATGGTGTTGAATCCTTTCTTCTTTTTCTCTTGAAGAGACACACAGATGGCTTTTGCCCATTCCTCAAAATTAGGGCCTTTCAATTTCATATGTGTAATCAAGTTACCAGACATGTCGCTAGACATTAAGAGAAACAGTGAGATGCTTTTTTGGACATCTTCTATTATGGAATCGCCCATCATTGATGGTTGGTGTCGTTGAGTGCAAAGCCTAGGTATAGCATGACAAACCACAAACAATGAGAAAAATGGTTTTGTGCTGTTTATCTCAACGTCATAGGAGCTTATACAGAGAAGCTGAGAAGGTAATAATATAGAGAAAGCCTAAAAATCAGCAAAATAAGAGGGTGTTGGGCTAAGCTTAAAAAATAAATTTTTTTTAACTTATTATTGGTTTCACACCGGTACAAGTTAAAATGAGAGGTTGGATAGATTGTTTTTTAGAAACAACTTACAATGGTGTGGAATCGAAGATAAGTCATTTTTGATAAGTTACTAATTAACCTAACTTATCAAAACTTCTTATAACTTATAGTTGTCCAACATTTCAAGGAGACCTTTTTTTGGTCATTTTGTCGAACACTGGATTATCAACTTATACCGTGTTTTGATACCAGGTAAGCTAACCAATCACTTTTAAAAATTTCGGTTTTGACAACGCTATAAGCTAGTAAGCTATAAGTTAAAAAATGTTTATCATTTTAAATAAGCTTAGCCAAACACCCTCTAAATCTCCTACGAAATAGAGACTACAAAATTATTTCCTATAACTAAGGGATGTGATATTATCCTAAATCACATAAGATATACCTATAACAAGAGAGCTATACAAGTTAAATATACACATCAACATTAAGGAATAAGTGACTCCTCTTGCCATAATTTAAACGGTTGAAGGTATTTATGAAATGATTTTATTGTCCATATATCCTGGGAACTGATTTTAAAATTCAAAAAAATTTGGGTGTTATATATATATATATATATATATATATATATATATATATATATATATATATATATATAGAGAGAGAGAGAGAGAGGTAAGTTCAATTGAGAAAATAAAAAAAGTTGAGAATAGAGGAATCATTCTCAGCCACTTATTTATTTTTGCCGTAAAAGTCTCCAAGGTACTGGCGAAAATGAGAAAGAAATACACATGTGTTTTCCAACAAAACATATTTCTTAAACTATGATAACCATTACATTAATATATAGAAAAACATAGTTTTTTCGTTTTTTTAAATTTTAAAAAGTTATTTTTATCGAAAAATGATTTTAAATATATCAAAATTCATAATTTTATATTCTCTATAAATAGACATCTATATTGATATAGTTTTAAGATAAATTAAAAATTTTATTTTATTTTTTTTATATTTTCAGCTATCGTTATTCACAAGTGAATAAAATTATATCAGATTTTTACAACAGTACATTCATTATTCACTTATGAATTAAAAAATATGATTAATTTTTTTTTTATAGTTTAAGTATTATTATTTTTACTACTTGTTCATATATGAATAACAAATTAACTGTAACACAAATCTGATAAATGTTTTATTCATATATGAATACAAAATATGACGACAACTAATACACGTTTTATTCATATACAAATATAATATATGATGAAAGATGATGTAAAAAAATATATTTTATGTAACAAAGCTTTATTACGTGTTATATTCATCAAACTATAAAAAAAGTTAAACATATGTTTTATTCATTAGTGAATAACGAATGTACTGTAATAATAATAAAAACTGAAGGATTTGTATTCACTTATGAATAACGAGAGCTGAAACTCTAAAAAAAATAAATTTTTTATTTTATCTTAAAACTATATCAATATGGATGTCTATTTATAGAGAATAAAAAATTATAAATTTTGATATATATTTAAAATAATTTTTCGATAAAAATAACTTTCTAAAAATCAAAAAAACAAAAAAAGTATTTTTTTTGTGTATATTAAAGTAATGATTAACATAGTTTAAGTAATCATATTTGTTTGAAAAACACATGTGTAACCTTTATCCATTTCCGCCGGTACGCCTAAATGTTTTGCGGCAAAATTAATGTGTGGCTGAGAATGATTCCTTCATTCTCAACCTTTTTTTTTCTTAATTGAACCCTCCTCTCTCTCTCTCTCTATATATATATATATATATATATATATATATATATATATATATATATACAAGTAGGTTCATGCGAAAACATAAATATCTTGCGAAAACGCAAAAACAGATTTGATCTTATAAAAATCAAACACAAGTACTATAAAAATTAAATTTATTAGCAATAGATTAAAGATAATAAGTTACATTGGATTGTGTTATGATAATATAGATTTTAAAGACGGTTTTAACTACTTTAATTTTTTTTTTGACGTCCTTAACCACTTTTAAACTCATGTTTTCATAATAAAAATGTCAAAAATTATGCTTTGTTAATATGAAACAATTTCTCATGTATCATCGATTATCATCATGTAGTTCAACGTTTGGATGGATTATTGTCCAACATATAAGGTTGAGGTGGTACAATCTCATAGTTTTCTCTTGTTTTCGCAAATTATTTGCATTTTCGTGTATATATATATATATATATATAATATATATATATTATAATATATATATATATATATATATATATATATATATGTGTGTGTGTGTATGTGTGTGTGTGTGTGTGTGTGTGTCAGATGCCTACTACGCGAATGGGGATAACAGCCCTCTCCTGAGACGAGTACTGCTTTTAAAAGAAAATTATGAGCTTGATGCTTACGACAACTTACTAAATTGATACATGATATGATGTATACATATGCTCTCTCCAACTCGAATTCTCTAACTTGGCACTCTATTTATTTAGAATCTAAGCATCACACAGTTGAAAAGAATATGCCAGATGTATTGGGATGACAAGTCTGTAACTGGTTATGTATCCGCAAATGTAAGTCCGACATGTGACATTTAATATTTATGGATCGGGAAATCTTCGGAAAAATCCTAATATTTGACCCTAATATATGAAAAAGTCCCAAACTAAAATTGGCTTATGAAAAAGTCCTGATTACCGGAAAAAATGACGATTTGACCGTTTTTTTTCCGGTTTATCGGTTTCAATACTTAACCGGTTTCATTAAAGTCTCATTATTTTAACATAATTTTCATTAAAGTCTCATTATTTTATCATAATTTGGGACTTATTCGTAAATTATGGTAAAATAATGAGACTTTATTAAATCCGGGTAGGTAATGAAACCGGTAAACCGGGAAAAATGGGCTAAATTGTCATTTTTACCTTTAATTGAGATGTTTTCGTAAACAAATTTTAGTTTAGGACTTTTTCGTAAATTGTAGTAAAATATTTAGACTTTTCTCTTATGGATCTAAAACTATTTCAATTATAAATTATCTTGTCATTATGTCATCATATTTAACCAGATGAAGAAAGAGATGGCACAAGATTCCAATAATGCTAGGAGTACTTTGTTTCAATTACGTGATGATTGCGGGTATTATGCTTGGAGTTCTCTTTAATAAATAGTTAAATACTATGTCATCTGAGTAACAGTCAATCCTGCAATTTAGAAAATATATATATATACAAACACGAGTTTCAAAACAAGTATGGTTTTGGTTGTGTATTTAACAACTATTGCATAAACATAACCACAACAATCTTCTTTAAATTATTTTTATGATAATGTCTACATCCCAAAGATAATAAATTTAAAGAGAATTCTTTTTAATAAATTCGACTTCATTAAAATGTAACCAAATGACTTTTTTTATTGTGAATACAAATTTTAAGATCGTTTTCAACCGTACCATTGCATTCTTGATTGGCATTATATATCGTACTTATCCACTGCAGTTCACGCTATAAATTAACAATCTATGTTTTCAAATGCAGCATACCTTTCTTTTTTGATGACCTCTTTACTTCCTTACAAGGAAAAGACTTCTCAAGCGTTAAACCCACCATGGAACTTGCCAGGTATCAAGCCTTCCACTTTTTGTACAAGTAAAGGTTAGAGCTCAACTTGTTATGTTTTGCATGTAGTTCAATTTGGACTGGAGTGTTGGCTCTTTCTTAGCTTCAAAGAAGATGTATTTGAGTATTTTTGGCTAGTGTCTTTCTAGTTACGTTAATAACTTTTCATTCACAAAAATGTGCAAGTTAGAAGACAATCTTGGCAAGCGCCAAAACTTCCACTTCAATTTCAGAAATTATCAGGGAACTTAATTCTGATATACTTTTAAGAAGGTATAGACGAGATATATGAAAAGAATGTTGGGTATTCTTTTTTTTTTTTTTTTTTTTTTTTGAAACGGCAAACTATTGTACTCCTAATCTAACCCTAAACACCACGTACGTCTCATAATGAGACTTGAACTCATGACCTCTCATTTGAGAGAGTCATTCCTTACCGCTAAACAAGTTAAGCACTTCGGAGAAAAATGATTACGGTAACACAAGCGGGATAAAAACTACTAAAAAATTGCAAATGGCCAGATATATGAAAAGAACGTTGGGTATTGAACAAAACACGTGAAGCACTTTGGAGATAAATGATTTCGGCAACACACGCGGGACAAAAACTACTAAAAAATTGCAAACGAAACTGAACACAATATTTAATGTGGTTCGGTCTAATCTGACCTACATCCACGGGCGAAAGAGAGAGAAAAGATTTTATTTAAAACCAAAGAAAATTGCAATCATACAAGGCTCAACAACACTTATAATCTGATCACTTGTATTTTTGACTACCGAAAATAAGACTCGAAAAATACAACCTCATTATTCCTTTTTTGTATATCTATTCTTGTTCTATTTATCTGTTGCACACTTCTCTAAATATATAGAGATCTTGCCAGCAATTATATATATATATATATATATATATATATATATATATATATATCCTACCGCCGTAGCATTTGACCTTTTGTGAATAGTATGCCCTTAAAGAAACGTCCTTGAAAATGTGAACGTTAAAAAAAAATCCCTTAACATTTAATGTTGCTTGTTGCGGCCGAAACAAATTCCCTTCAGCACAAACGGAGTTGGTGAGTTGGTGATAGTGACATTTTCCAATAATTAAATTAAATTGTTAATTGCTAAGTTTCATTTATGGTCCATGAACTTCAAGGAACTTGTCATATTTTTTATGACTCCACAAATCTTAACAATATCCCACTTGGAGGCTTGAACAACTTAGTCTTTCTCTGCCATTCAAAAACTTTGCAACATTCCTTAATCACACTCTCTCTCTCTCTCTCTCTCTCTCTCTCTCTCTCTCTCTCGTTCTCTTTCGTGCCCTTTTCTCAAACTTCTAGAAGGCCAGGTGAAGCCATATAATGCTTCAACTTTTTAGTGGTAACCACATTGGTGAACATATTTGCTGGATTCTTCGTTCCAAGGATTTTCTTCAGATTCAGAGTTCCATTATTAATTAACTCTCTAGTAAAATGGGACCTCATCTGAATGTGTTTCGTTCTACTATGAAACACCGGATTCATTGCCAGATAAACTACACTCTACTTATCACAATGTAGTATACAATCCTCCTGTTGCATTCCAAGTTTTGATAGAACGTTCTTCAACCATATAAGCTCTTAGGCTGCTTTTGCAATAGCCATGTACTCTGCTTTTGTAGTTGATAAAGCAACACTCTTCTGTAACCTAGAAATCCAACTGACTGTCGTACCTCCGATTGTGAAATCATAACATGTTGTGCTTTTACCCGAATCCACATATCCACCCAATCTGCATCAACAAACCCTTCTAAGACCACACCCTTTCTTCTGAAACATTGGGAAACCTCAAATTTTCCTTTCATGTAGTGTAAGAGTCACTTTACTCCCTCACAATTCTCTATTCATGAACCTACTCACAACTCCCATAACATGAGCAAAATCCGGGTATGGTGCATACCATAACATACGTCAAGCATCCAACTGCAGATGCATATGGAAGTTCAGCCATATGCTCCTTGTCTTCTTCTATGTTTGGGGATTGTTGCTTTGAGAGTCTCAATTGAATTCCCAAAGGTATACTTTTTTCTTTAGCATCTGCCATGCTGATCTTTTCTAAAACTTTCTTAATGTACTTTTCTTGTGAAAGATTTAGTGTACCAGTAACTCTGTTCCTGGCTATGCTCATGTCCAATATATGCTTAGCAGAACCTAGGTCCTTCATCTCGAACTCTCTGGACAACTGCTTCTTAAGCTTTTTAATCTCATGCATGTCGGATCCAACAATCAACATGCCATCAACACACAATAACAGGATGATGTATGA